GAGAGAGAGAGAGAGAGAGAGAGAGAGAGAGAGAGAGAGAGAGAGAGAGAGTTTCCATCGGTCGGTTGCCTCCCCCCGTCGTGCATCACCTGACGCTTTTGCTTTTGCGAGCGAAGCCGCAACAGGTCATGTAGTGTTTTATGAAATTTGTTCCACTGAATCCAGTCTTTTTTTGTTGCCTGCTAGGCCTACGGAAGGATGTGCTCTTTTTTTTTCATTTTTTTTTTTCAATAGAAATCAAAGCTCCTTTTATTCTGGGGAGCAACAGATTTGTTCCTGTTCCACCGGCAACAGATTTGTTCCTGTTCCACCGGCAGGTCAAGTGGCATGAATACAAATTTTATCCACGCTTCTTCACGTTACGGCCCGGGGAAGCCTGATCGGCTGCCAGTTAAGCCCATCCTTTGGAGCAAATCCCTGCCCCCTGCCGTCTTACCCCCCAAGCAAACCTTCTTAAAAGCAGACCGCTCAGTTTCTCCCAGCTGTTGTTGACTGTCGTTAATCTGAAGCCAGGCTTACCCCCCGTTGGCGATGTCGCTATGTACGGAGCGAGCCAGCGACCCGGATATGGCGTACCATGCAGATTTTTCATTTCAGCTGTCATGCTGGGGAAGGCACAAGGTTTACTGGTGCTTTTGATACAACCTTATAGCCATTATTCTGTTCACTATGGAGTCTGGACCAGTATGGAGGGAATTAAGGGATGGTCATCGCCTCCTTTGTCTTGAGAACTGTGATGCTTCTGCATTTCGTCCATCCCGTCCACTTTCCAGCTGGCCGTTGTGCCACTGTTGTTTGGACACCTGCCGTTATCTGTCATCTGTTCTTTTTGCATGCTACAGCATGGTAAGTGTTAGCACTGTTTGCACGAAGCAGTCAGTCGTAGATAGAATCTCTACCATGTAGAGTAGCCACAGTGCCAGCATCCATGCCCTAAAAACTGCTGATATCCTCCCACACTTGGCTCCCTCTAGTCACAGCTGGTGCACTACCTGTTCCAGACCCCACAAGTTTTTAGCAAAATGCACATGCCAACTGGAAAATTTGTTTATAGAACGCATTCAAGATGGAGGGCATCACATTGGAGCAAGTAGGTGTTGACACTAAATTCTACATATCTGAATTGCAAAGGGCGTGTTGTGGTGAATGCTGTACAACAAACACCCTCAAGACTTATTCTATATCTTCATGGGATCTGCACTTTTGCAGGACGGCATCAGCCATCAAGAAGCACTGGCATAGCACATTGAAGGAGAAGTATCGTCGAGCTGGGTGGTGCTCGCGTCTGCTTTCACCACCACTGGAGTTGGTTCGTCAGACACCTGCAGAAAAGCGTGCAAGCAATCCAGAATCATCAATCACTGCAAAAGAAGATTCTGAAGGTAAGCAAGGTTTGCGTTTGTGATGATTGTCAAAAGAACAGAGCCGCACTTCGATTTACAATTATGACCAACACTCAGTGAACTTGGAGGTCGGATAGAAATCTGGACTCTCTTTCAATGCTTCCTCCCCCTCGGTATGTGCTATCCTCTTGCATATTGGTCTTTTGCTGCCATATTCGAAGTCATCATTCCAGTCGACATTCATTTCCTTTCCCTGTCTCACTGTCCCTTTTCAGTGTGTTTTTTTCCATCTGTGTGTATATCGAACATGATAACGCATGCACACAAGTTGCTGGACGTGGTGAGGTCCGGGTGTGTGCGCTAGAGAGATAGATAGATAGATAGATAGATAGATAGATAGATAGATAGATAGATAGATAGATAGATAGATAGAGAGAGAGAGAGAGATAGAGATAGAGATAGATAGATAGATAGA